AATACAGAAAATAAAAGGAAATATAAGGAAATACAGGAAAATAGAAGAAAATTCAAGGAAATACAAGGAAGTAAGAGGAAATCCAAGGAAATAAAAGGCAATAACTAGGTAATTAAAGAGAATACAAGGAAATTCAAGGACTTTTGAGAAAATGACAAGAAGTCCAAGGGAATCCAATGAAATCCATCCTCTGTTGCCCTCTACCGAGGAGTCGGTTAGCTGTAGAGCAGGATTCCCCTGCAGCTCCCCCTGTGAGCACAGCGCAGCGACAAACGGAAGCCAAGAAGCACCACGGGATGTGCTCTATGGGAAGAACAAGCTGGCACCAGGGAGGAAAACCCCCAGACAGCGCTAGCACAACATATGGAAGGGCAGTCACCATTCCATGGGCAGCATGGGGTGGAACTGGGCAATTCCCAGTGCCAGGACACCCTTGGGGTGCCAGCGTGTGCCAGGTGCTGAGCCCAGGGAAGTGCCAGAGGAACTTTCCCCTCACTAGTCCAGCATGCACGGGCAGGATTGGCACTCACCATGGGGAACGAGACAGTTGCAAAGCTTGGCAGATGCTGGTGCTGCTGCTTAGGCTCAGGAGTTGGACTTGGATGATCCTTGGGGGTCACTTCCAACTTGGGATGTTCTGTAATTCCATGATTTTAGGCTTTGCTTGTGGAAATGTTAAGAGTAGGTAGAAAAAATCAGAACTGACAGCAAAACCAGACACATCTGGGGGGTTATTTTAACATTCTGCAGCACAGACAGGGGCAGTGAATGTCATTTATCATTACCTGGTAGGAACGAACATTTGTTCCAGAGTTGTGTGAGTTGTGGCAAGTTTTCCAACGTGCAGGAGATGCCAACTACCATCATCCCTCAGTGAATTAGCACTTGGACTGGGTGTTAGCCAGCCTGGAATCTGCATATGGTGCTCTTGTATGCATCCCTGGGGGATGTGCCAATCCAGGGCAGTGCTCCAGGTGGTCCCAGTGCTGACCTTCATCCTCTTGGATAACTCTCTTCCTTCTAACAGCTAATTTGGCTCCATGCTGTGGACTGTTTTCCTTTATTATATTCCCTATTAGCCTACAAAGTCAAGAGTTGACATCGCACAACCTTGTTGGCTGTTTGTACAGAGGTGCTTAATCCTGACTACACAAAACACTGAGCAGTTCCTCTTCATCATTCAAAATCCCTGAACAGCCATTTCAAGAATGAGGAAAAAATAAATCAGTGATGATAGGAAGAGGCAAACCCCCTCAAATCTAAATGCAAACCTTCCCCTGTCCAAGCCTGTCCAACTCCAACTGGAAGAATATCACAGAGACACATGAAAGCAAAGCAGCCCCTGGAAATCTGCCTGTAAACAGGAGAATGTGTCCACCTAACACACTGAAAAGGAACAGCTAATCCCTGGAAAAATGTCAAAGGCACAGTGGTGCTGCTGCCAACACGTGCACTGGGACTTGCTGAGCAGCTCTGCCTCTCAGCCATGAAGAGGATGAGTCCCTTGTGACTTCCTGCACTTTGCGTTTGGGAAGAAGAACATAAAATAAGGGAAAAAATAAAAATACAGCTACAGATGCAAATCACTCCAGGAAAACACAGGGAATCTGGGAAGCTGCAAGGTTTGCAGGTACATTTTACACAGGAGCAGCTCCTAAGCAAGGTCCTACATGCTCCTTGGGCATCACCTGCTCCTGACTAGGCTCTTCCAAGTATGGAGAGGAAGCAGCTTCCCTTTCCTAGGAATAGGATGTGCCTGGTTGTGTGGTGGACATGCAGTTACAATCCTTCAGGGATGCCACCCACCAAATCAGCCACATCTGAGCTACTCCCAACCTAACACTACCCTTAACACTATTAGCAAGTCAAATAATCACTGCAATCCCGTAAAAATTCCCACTGGTCCTTACAGAAAGCCAAACTCTGACCTGACAGGGCTTGGTGGACCTTCTTGGCCCACAGAGAATTCAGCAGCACAACAGAAAAGGACCAGGAGCAGCCCCTGGTCAGGTGAATCCACAGAGAATCACACAACCATATCTGAGCCATAATGATGTACACATCTAACTTTGTTTATCTATGTATCTTGTTTTACATCTCTCAGTAGTACCTCGGCATGCAGAAGGTTGTACACCCCAGCACAGCACAATCCCTTTCCCTAAGATCCCATGCAGTAGGAAGCCAGGAATGAACTCAGTCACTTTATTAGTTTTACATCAAGAGGAAATATCATTCAAAATATCATTTGAATCCAGAGTTTTCAAACTAGAGTTAATCAAGTGCATTTAGAAGAGAATTCACAATTTTCTGTACACAAGTATCTCCATGGCAATTCCTTACCTAGGATTAAAAGAGCAGCATAACAAGTCCCTTCTCCTCACATGGTTAAGTCCACAGAGATGAGGATATGCCTGAGAAATGTTTAAGTTAGAGCTCTGTCAAGCCCAAAACATGAGAGAACAGAGTGCAAACACATATTTTCTCAAAGGGCAACTCAGCAAAGGTATAAACTGCCCTAAAACCATCCTGGCAGCCTCATTTTTGGGAAGCAATCACTAAAGACATTGACTTCAGCTTTAAGGCTCTTCCCCATCCCTGCCAGGACAGCAGAACAGGACACACAAGCTCCTGGACACCTCTCCCACCTTCCTGAACATCACAGTGACCCAAATTGGTTGTTGACATACATTTTGAGCAGGATCCACACTCATTTCCCTCTCCACACTGTCATCAGTGGACAGGTGGTATGGTGGGAGGCTCCTTGTATCTGCTGGTCACCAACCCATGGGCAGCACAGGCCAGCAGTGATCCCACAGGTTAGTGCAACTCCTCATTCCATGGAGGACATTCCTTGGTCCATTTTGAGTATGGCAAAGGGATGAGACAGATGTTTTACCAACACTGAAGCAACAGGAAGAAATCTCATCACCTGAACTGTCACTAAGAACAGTTGAGGGCAGAGTGGAAAGGAACAGAAAATTCTTCCTCTAGAACCACCAAATCCAGAGGGAAATGCTTATCCACACCCCCAGCTGCTAAAACTCTCCTGATAACTGAGTCAGAGGTCCAAAAAGGGAGAGCTGAAGCCTTTTCGTTGGTCCTGTCCCCACTGCTGGACATCAATATGCTCCACTTTGGGCACTGAGTTCCTTACCAAAAGGACAAACCCAAGGGTTGGGATTGATTTGATCCAAGAACTTCAACATGCTGCAAGGGAATTCTTAATAACCTGGAGAACACCTTCAAGGCTAAGGCAGATCACACACTTTATGCAGGACCTTATCAGCTTGGCTAGGTTGTGTTTAGAGACATTACCACATAAAACCCCCAGGAATTACAGTCCATAAAATGTCTGATATTGTTTTAACAGGTCCAACTTGGAAGGGCTTGAGTGTGCCATAAAATGTATTTCCAAAGCTGTTACTGCTTTTCTAAGTTCAAAGGAGTCACAAGCAGAAGATCAAAGTCTCAGCTAAGAGCTGATGTCACTGTGTCACAGCAGCACCAGGAACATTTCCAGTCAGTGCTCCAGGGTCAGTTCCAGGAGTGCTGTAGGGCATGGAATAAGGAAGCTC